GAAAAATTAATTGTGTCAAAGCCGCGAACGAGGTGGCGACTGACCGTTTTTCTTTTGACAAGACATCTTTAGCTGCGATAATAAAACTATGTTATCAGAAATGTGCACCAAAGAATGACTGGAAACATGGAAATGTTTTTTTTTCGAGATGAAGGACGATTGTGTTGTGTCAAATAGACCACCCATTCTGATAATTAGCGATAATCTGACTGACGAAGACCAGGTGAGAACAAGAGTTATGACCACCACCGATCGCATTGTTCTATTTGCGGCCAGAGAAAATGAGAACTGCGATTAAAAGAAAGAAAAGGAAAAGAAAAAGATAATTTTTTTTTTAAGCAAGATATTTTTTTTTCGCTGAAACAAAGCCCGCGGGATCGCACACGCCCGGCTGGATATCATTGGCCTAGTGGTGATCACGTGACGCAAGGAGGAAGCTGTCGCCGCCCACCTAGAGGATGGGTATGAGAGGCCGCTACGAGGAAGTGGGGAGGACAGTTGACACCCCTCTGAAGTATGGTGAGAAGGTGGGAGTAAGAGAAGTCTCCCAAAAAATGGAAAGAAGTGGAAAATTCCTAACCAAAAATAAAAGAAGTGGATAGGTATTTAGAATTATCGAGGAACCCCCCGGTTTTGGTCGGCGTCCATATAAGCAAAGTCGCAGCGAGCGAAAATCAGTTCCAGCAGAGAGTTCCAGAGTTGAGTTCGGGAGAGACAGTTCCCAGAGTCAGTCTCCAGTGCTCAGTTGAAGCAAGCCTCGCATCGGCTGACCAAGATTCGCGCAATTTCCGGACTCATCTTCAATCCAAGAACAATTATTTTGAAGAGCGACTTAGATCCAGACCACCAAAATAAGTTTTTTTCGACTTTCGCCCGAAGACACACCAAAAAAAAAAAAAAAACAATTTCTTAAAGAGCAAACAACTTGAAGTGTTAAAACTCGCCTGACGGAAAACAACGTGACACAATCCATAGAACGGGTCGGGAGATAGACGCAGTCCTATGTATCCAACAACTAGACATAAAGTTTGTTATCCTTTTCTTTGATACCTTGAACTTTTGAGTTATCATTTTATTTCTTTTATACGTATTTGTGCGATACCACCCCCGCTTGGACCCAACTTGCATTGCGGCCCCAACGACTGATTGATTTCGTCTGCCTAAGATCGATTCACAACGTGGGTAGGCGAACTGGAGATCAACGCAGTTACTTTGGTAACCAGGCGTTGGAAGCGAATTGGGAACGACGAGGCTGATATCAAATCTAACCAGATTCCCACCCGAATCACCAAAAGGTTATAACGTTACATTTGGGTGCCGCGACCGATACCAAGCCAGTTGGTCGTCACAGGACGAGACAACACGACTGACGCGACAGGCGGACGTCACGTTTGGAGCGACGACACCCGAACGAAGCAGCGAGGAGCGAGCGAAGGCTGTGTTCAGGGACGTCACATATATAATAAATAAATAATATATATATATATATATATATATATATATATATATATATATATATATATATATATCGTGTTTGTGTCTGTATAGCTGAACCATGAGTCCAACATCAAGCGGTGACTGTCTGTTTCATGCCTCAACGCATTCTTCAGACTTGAGGATTGCGTTAAAGTATTAACCAAACTGAGGTCGACTGGTTTTGTTTGACTCTCCACTGTTTTCTTTTCTTTCTTATCGATGAATTGACATGCTTTCCAGATCTGGAATTCAGAATTTACCTTTACTTTGCATGCCACTCAAGGTGAGAGCGCTCAGTATACACTATTGTTTAATCTATCACTGTGGAGAAGAGAGAGGGTTTTCTTACTTTCCCCGAAGGTATTTGTGCGAAAGTGATATAACAGACTCGGATATGATCTTGGAATCTGAACTCGGATTGCCGATTACACATTTCAAGACATATCCTTTATACCAGTTTAACATATTATTTTGTTTACAATTATGTTCACCCAGTACAAGACCGGGGCGGGGAGCGCTCGATTTGCAGAGTTACAGTGTCTGTGGCACAGTTTATGCGGATATAACGGTTAAACCTAGACTTGAGCTGGTTAAGATTGCAGTGAACGGAGAAGCATCCTCTTGGGAGTCGGTTCCACAAAGCAACGCTTCGTGGTGTATAGATAATTATGAATAAATAATTGATAAAACATTTTCATTTCATCTATACTCTTCTATTTTACATATTTTACACAGCCCCCATATATATATATATATATATATATATATATATATATATATATATATATATATATAAGTATGTATTGTCATCCACAGACAGACTGTTTTGCTGTATCACAGTTCATCAGTGTGGCTAGACGCCCGGTTGCCTCTAGCTAGGATCGAAACCCGACTGAATTAGCGTCGGGGATTCTACCACTAAGCTGTTGGCGCACAGCAGGGATGAAGGTGAATTTAAGCGTATTTATTTTTAGATAAACACACAGTGATTGAGAGAATTCGATTCAATATATATATATATATATATATACAGAAATATAGCGAGGGTGTTTTTGCTATATTTATGGAATAAAGTGCTCAATATCAGAGATAGAGCGTGTGTAAATATAGAAGTCAACACTTAGAGGCGACAGACTGTTTCATGCTATATGCAGGTGGCCTGACGATTGCATATAGCATGAAAAATTTTATATATATATATATATATATATATATATATATATATATATATATATATATATATAAAGAAATTATGGATTTTTTTTTTAGTTATGAACGTGAGAGACTATGTTACTTAAACATTATTTTTAGTGGATGCCCATATTTGAGTAGACGCTCCGTTTTGAATGTTCGAGAAATCTTATTATTAAAGAACAATATGCGGTCTCCAACATGATTCGAACCTGCGGGTGATAAGATTTCTCAAATATGGTTATCCACGAAAAATAACGTTTAATTAATATATATATATATATATATATATATATATATATATATTATGAAATGGACAAAGTCCGACGATTATTTTAAGACATTTTTATGTTTATAAATTCTTTTTATAGATACAAATATTTAAGTAAATGCTCTGTTTATAATAAACAGTATTAAACAACATTTACTGGCCTGAATATCCGAGAAATTTTCACAGAAATTATTCGGCCTCCGACAGGATTATAACCTGTATCCTATAATGAACCGTTATTTAGCTTGACGTGTCTCTAACCGATTTGGCCATAGAGGAGCGTTCGGTTAGCAAGGTCGAATTTACTGTCTTTAAACTTGAATCTCTCACGTACATTCATATCTGCTCATGGCGTATCCAAATGTAAACAAATGACGTCACACATTATGAAATGGACAGGTCCGACAATTATAAAAAGAATGTATAAACATAAAAATGTCTTAAAGTATATATTATTATTTCGTCCATCGGGGTAGATTGTTCTAGTTCCACGTGACATGACTCTTTCGGATGCCTCAGTTATTTCTCTTCAACTCAACTCTCCATGTTTTTGGTTCACCACCGCTGTGGCCTGGTATTGAACTCACAACTCTTTCGGTCTAGTCACTGGACCTAACCAACCATCTACTGGGTCATGTGTCCTTGAAAAGTCGTAAATATGGCAATGAAGATGAAGATAACAGTCCGAATAGTGTAAGTAATCATAATACCTCATCTCAGAGATATAGAGGCCGAAATGTTGTGAATACTGCAATGAAGATGAGGATAACAGACTGAATAATGTAAATGATGTAAATAATCATAATACCTCATCTCAGAGATATAGAGGCCGAAATGTTGTGAATACTGCAATGAAGATGAGGATAACAGACTGAATAATGTAAATGATGTAAATAATCATAATGCCTCATCTCAGAGATATAGAGGCCGAAACGTTGTGAATACGGCAATGAAGATGAGGATAACAGTCCGAATAATATAAATAATGTAAGTAATCATAATACCTCATCGCAGAGATATAGAGGCCGAAACGTTGTTATCTCTTTTAACAATTCCAAGATATTTAGAGTTTTTTATTTGTTTGATTTTGACACTTTCATTTCGTAGCTCGAATTTTGTTATTTTTCATTTAGCTTATGACTACATTCTTACAGTTGATCGTCCTTTCTTCTTGCATTCGTTTGCTACCTTGTCTAGAAATTCCTGAAGTTTTCTTTCGGCGTCTGAGATCACAAGTTACAGAATGTCGCAAGACATTGCCGAAAAGCAATTCCGCATGTCATCTGCTTTCTAGACGCCCGGCCAACATCGGGAATCTTTAAGAGGTCCTCCTTCGTTTTAGCTTTCATTATTTTTTCATAACGCTTTCATTTATTTACTTTTGGTTGTGGGGCGGAAAAAAAGACTTTTCCCATCTTTCATCTTTAGTTTCTCTTTCCATAATTTTGATTTCACACCTTCCGCGTACCCTCGCCTCCCCGCCTCCTGCTAATGTTTTCTGTCAACCTGATCGAAAATGAGAGAAAAGAAAAATGAAAGTTAGACAGAGCGGAAATGGAAAAGGAATTATGGGAAAAAGAAGAAAGCGATTTATATTGTTAGCGACTGGATAACGCACAACACATACACATGTATATATATATATATATATATATATATATATATATATATATATATATATATATAAAAAGAAGCACGTGATTTCATTAGGCAACCCACAGAAACTCGAGTGAAACGCAAGATCAAATAATCTTATTTTTTTTCCCCGCTTAAATCGGTAGAAAATGGCGGACGCCCATCGATCTTGTAATTGCTCGTTGTTACTCGCCAAGACCGGCCGCACGCAACAACAAGACTCGGCCGTGGCATAACCACGGACACCATTTTCATCTCTTGATGTAAAAACGTTCGTTCTCTTGTGTGCATTTTGCTATTTAAAATATGTCTCGATGTTTTCGGACACTCTTCTTTATTCATCTTTCTTTCTTTCTTCTATTCGATCATTTTCATTTTTCCCTTCGCCATTTATATAAGTGTTCTTTTCTCTCCTTTAATAAACCGGATGTACAACCTGCTTTCCCGCTCGTTGGACAGTTTTTGCTTTTTTTACTCTCGAAAATTCTCACCAAACTCTCGTTTGCGTCTTTTAGACAGAGAAGAAAAACAAACGTTTTCATATGATTGTTTAATTCTTTTGGTCAGTTACTTTTTTCTGGTATTCCTTCGTTTGCCTTTCCTCTTCCATTCCTTTCTTTTCTGCCATCAGTCTGTCTATCTTGCTAGCTGGCATGTGTATTCGTTTTTAGTTTGATTTTTTCATTTTTTTCTCTGTTTTTCTAGCTTCCATTCGATCTGCCATTACGTCATACCTTTCATTCTTTTTTTATTTCTCAGAGTATCTTTTATTCTTTCTTTCTTTCTTTTACATACCTTTCTTTCTTTTTTTATTTCTCAATGTACCTTTTATTCTCTCTTTCTTTCTTTCTTTTACATACCTTTCTTTCTTTTTTTATTTCTCAAAGTACCTTTTATTCTTTCTTTCTTTCTTTCTTTCTTTCTTTTACATACCTTTCTTTCTTTTTTTATTTCTCAAAGTACCTTTTATTCTTTCTTTCTTTCTTTTACATACCTTTCTTTCTTTTTTTATTTCTCAAAGTACCTTTTATTCTTTCTTTCTTTCTTTCTTTCTTTTACATACCTTTCTTTCTTTTTTTATTTCTCAAAGTACCTTTTATTCTTTCTTTCTTTCTTTTACATACCTTTCTTTCTTTTTTATTTCTCAAAGTACCTTTTATTCTTTCTTTCTTTCTTTCTTTCTTTTACATACCTTTCTTTCTTTTCTTATTTCTCAAAGTACCTTTTATTCTTTCTTTCTTTCTTTCTTTCTTTTACATACCTTTCTTTCTTTTTTTTATTTCTCAAAGTACCTTTTATTCTTTCTTTCTTTCTTTCTTTTACATACCTTTCTTTCTTTTTTTATTTCTCAAAGTACCTTTTATTCTTTCTTTCTTTCTTTCTTTTACATACCTTTCTTTCTTTATTTATTTCTCAAAGTACCTTTTATTCTTTCTTTCTTTCTTTTACATACCTTTCTTTCTTTTTTTATTTCTCAAAGTACCTTTTATTCTTTCTTTCTTTCTTTCTTTCTTTTACATACCTTTCTTTCTTTTTTTATTTCATAAAGTACCTTTTATTCTTTCTTTCTTTCTTTCTTTCTTTTACATACCTTTCTTTCTTTTTTTATTTCTCAAAGTACTTTTTATTCTTTCTTTCTTTCTTTCTTTTTACATACCATTCTTTTTTTTATTTCTTAAAAGTACCTTTTATTCTTTCTTTCTTTCTTTTTACATACCTTTCTTTCTTTTTTATTTCTCAAAGTACCTTTTATTCTTTCTTTCTTTCTTTCTTTCTTTTACATACCATTCTTTCTTTTTTTATTTCTCAAAGTACCTTTTATTCTTTCTTTCTTTCTTTTACATACCTTTCTTTCTTTTTTTATTTCTCAAAGTACTTTTTATTCTTTCTTTCTTTCTTTCTTTTACATACCATTCTTTCTTTTTTTATTTCTTAAAGTACCTTTTATTCTTTCTTTCTTTCTTTTACATACCTTTCTTTCTTTTTTTATTTCTCAAAGTACCTTTTATTCTTTCTTTCTTTCTTTCTTTCTTTCTTTCTTTCTTTCTAAACATGTTTATTCTTTCTTTAGTTCTTTCTTTTCTTCTTTATTTCTTTTTTTTTCTAACCTTTATCAATCTTCCTTTTATGTGTTCTTTCTTTCTCTTTTCTTTATTTCTTTCTAATATAGTTTTCTTCCCTACTGTATTTCCTTTCTAATATCATTTACGATTTTTTCTTTATTTCGGTGTTTCTATCTTTCTGTTTCTTTTCTTATCCCATTTATTCTTTTTTTTTCTTTTACCATTATTTCTCTCTTTCTTTCGTCCTTTCGTTCTTTCTCGTCTATTATCCTCTTTATTCTTTCTTTCTTTCTTTCTTTCTTTCTTTCTTTCTTTTTTTCTAATCCCCTTTTATCGTTTTTCTTTCTTTCTTCTTTTCTGATCTCTTTTACCCTTTTTTCTCTCTTTCTATCTTGTCCCTTTCTTTTTTCTAATCTCCTTTACTCATACTTTCTTTATTTTTCTAATCCCATTCACGTTTTCTTTCTTTCTTTCTTTCCTTATTTCTTCTAATCGCCTTTAATCTTTCTTTCTTTTTCTAATTCCCTTTACACTTTCTTTCTCTCTTTCTTTCTCTCTCTCTTTCTTTCTTTCTTTCTTTCTTTCTTTCTTTCTTTACGCCTTCTTCCTTTCTTGTCCTTTTCTTTTTTCTAATCTACTTCTAATATCTTTACGATTTCTTTCTTTTTCAACTCTTTCTTTTTTTCTAATCTCCACTATGCTTTGTTCTTTGCTCATCCCTTTCTTTTTTTAATTTCTTTCTTTCTTTCTTTCTTTCTTTCTTTCTTTCTTTCTAATCTATTTTACTTCTTCTTTCTGGTCTTTCTTTCTTTCTTTCTTTCTTTCTTTCTTTCTTTCTTCTCTCTATCTTTTTTTCTAACCCCCTTCTTTCTTTCTTTCTTTCTTTCTTTTTACTAATCACCTTTACTCTTTCTTTATGTCTTTCTTTCTTGTCCTTTTCTTTTTCTAATCTCCTTTACTCATTCTTTCTTTTTTCTTTATTTCTTTTCCTTTTCCTTTTTCTAATCCCCTTCATTTTTCACCTTTCTTTCTTTCTTTATTTCTTTCGTGTGCTTTTCTTTTTTTCTAATCTCTTTTAATCTTTCTTTCTTATTTTCTCTTGCAATGTCTCTTAGCTTCTTTAATCTTTCTTTTCCTGTCTTTTTGTGACCCTTTCTTTCTTTGTTCACATATTCCTTACTCTTCTTTCTTTCTTTTCTTAATTTCTTTCTTTCTTTCTTTAAGATAGTCCTCCTGAATTCCATATTTCTTTTATTCTTCCTTTTCTCTTCTTTATTTGATCCTTCTTCCTTTTGTTCCTTTCCACCACCCATCCCTTTTTACTTTCTTTTGCTATCCCTCAATACCTCCGCCGTCTCCTCATCTCCGCTGCCCATGATTTTCAGACCACTTCGTAATTGCCTTTCACAACGGGGCTATTATGTAATGGCGTCTCAAATGGAAACAATAAGCCGAGGGTAACGAAATACGATACGATTGGACGTATTAAATCCAACGTAATATTTCTACTAATATAAAATCCACGATATCCAGTATTACTCGTTTGAGTGACGCCTAAGAAATTCACACCTGTCGAGACCGCCTTCGAGTTGACGCTATCGGATCTTCTTTGGTACTCTCCTTTACTCGCTCAAATACGCTTTCCTTCCTAAACGAACGCGGTCTGCCAGTTCGTAGAAGTTCGCTTACTAAAGCTTTACACTCAAAGCTTTGGGCTTACGGTTATATCATTTATAAAGCACATGTTTACGCACCATTACGGAACCTTGAGCCTGGACAGTAGGGCAGGTCGATTTTCGAACCGTGTTAATGCACGCAATTTGAAAGTTAGGCTTTGACATGTTAAATAAAGACACAAAATATATTTTTTTCAAAATCGTTACTGTTTTTTGAGGAAATGAGTTCGAAAGTTAAGTTTAGATTCAAAATTGAAATTTCATTTCATTGATCCATAAAACAAACTTAAAGCACAACCTTATAAAATCTATAAGTAACTGAAGCTACCCAAATTGTATATGGCCAAGATGAAGGCACAAACACATTATAACTAAATCATTGTTGAGATGTTGTGAGTTTCCCGCGTGTCGGTGTATGAATCAAGACAAACACAGTCGTAGAGGAAAATACTGGTATATTCGTAAAAGCAATTAACAATAGAGTGATTAGTAGAACGAAGGTTGGTTAGTACGAAACAATATCCAAAGTCTATAGTCCAACGGTATGTACCGGGTAAGCTTATCTGGACTGCTCACACTGACGCTCTCTCTGACGCTCTCTCTGACGCTCTGTCACTCTCTCCAGAGCTGACTTATATAAGAGGGACCAGTCCATTACTAGTTAGAAGGTGGGTGCGCCCCAACAATCATTGTGACATCAAATAAGACATTCATTTACTTCAAAGGTAAATTATAATGAACAATTAAATTTAATATTATGTAATATGTTATACAGATGTTCTAGCCTAGAAAAGATTGCTGAATGACGTATAAACAAAACAGAGGTTGGAAATGGAAATAGTAATGTTTATAACATCAACAAAATACAATACTCGCCAGCGGCGTGAAGTAGGTAAACTACTGCTATTGGTGGACTACCTAGACAGCAAATTACCTCCCACTTACAATAGGGTCCAACGTATTTATGAGGATTGGGACACACCCATTAGTGTTCATAGGTACGGTATATATCATTATCTCAGTCTTTTCATTATCTATCTATCCATCTATCTATCTATCTCTTGTAACCTAGAAAGGGTTACTGAATGAGGAATAATCAAAATGGAGGTTGGAAATGAAATGGTAATCTTTATAACATCAACAAAATACAATACTCGCCAGTAAATCGTCATAAGAAATTAGAATATTTTATTTAGATACCAACCGACCTACAAAAAAATAAATTATATATATATATATATATATATATATATATATATATATATATATATATATACAGAAGTGAATATTAAAGTCAACAGAAGCGACAGGCTGTTTCATGCTAAACGCAACCATCAGGCCGCATGAAACAGTCTCTTTTTTATATTTACATACGCTCTACCACTAATACACAGCACTTTATCCCATAAATATAGCATACCTTAGAACTATATTTCTTATATATATATATATATATATATATATATATATATATATATATATATATATATATATATATTCATACATGTTTCATAAAATAATATAGACAAGTGTTGTCTATTTATTTTATGTAAATTCTTTTCATAGCGTCTGATAAGCTTAATAACATTATCATTAAAACGAAGAAAGAAAATCACAATATTGATCCATATTTTTTAATCCAGTCTAAGCTTTCGGCTTACATAAGCCATTATCAAAGATGTCAATTACTGTACAATATATTAAGCAATATACGGACAAGACATTGATGATAGTTTATTATTGTTTACATGGATGATTTCAAGCAACGATAAACACGTGCATATAAGACGCTAGAAGCGAAAATCGCACCGCAGCTCAAGACGTCACACATGACGACGCGAGAGTGAATTCGAGAAGTATTAAGTATGGGAAGCCGTTGGTATAATCCAGTGGCTTCTGTTACCAATTATAGACAATTAAGTATATTTGTAGAGAGTCCATAGTTGATATATATATATATATATATATATATATATATATATATATATATATATATATTGTGTGTGTCTATAAAGTCTCTTTACAGTTTAAAAAAATATTACAAAGTCAAATGAACATGTAAATATGTGAAAATTGTTACAAAATTAGGAATAGGTATTGAATTTTTTTAAACTAATTTAATCCACCTTTATATGGGTACCATTAGTTGCACAAAGCACATCAAGACTGTACTCAATTTATTGCCATGTCTGCTGCAATGGTGGCAGTGGCATCAATTATTTTTTGCTTTAGATCACTGATATCCTGTATCTTTGTTTGATACATGGTATCTTTAACATAGCCCTATAGAAAGAAGTTCTGTTTTTTTTGCTGAGTTTGCGTATTCAATTTTGTTTCAATAAACCATGACACTGTGTTTTGTAAGCAATTACCGTTTAAGAAATATTCATTCTTTATTCTCCGGGAAGTGTTTGTGTAAGGAAAACTACCAACAAACCACCCGAATAAATTAAACCCACGTGTAACTGTAGAATAAAGAATAAATGTCCAGTAAACGGTAATTGCTTCCAAAACAACGTAATATACCAAGCCACGGTAAAATCACTAGATAATGAAGAAAAAGTATACATAGGGTTAACTGAAAGACCCTGGAAACAAAGAAACTATGCATACAAAACATCTTTCACAAATAGTAAATACGCGAACAGCACAATGCTTTCTAAGTATATCTGGGGAATTAAAAACAAAACGCAAATCACACCAAAAATATCATGGAAAATAAGGAAAAGATCATCAGCCTACAACCATCTAATCAAAAACCTACAAACTTTGGAGGAAAAAATAGCTATTAATATCTTCCCAGACCAAAATAAATTACTAAATAAACGATCTGAGCTCATTTCAAAATGCAGACATGAAAAGAAACATTTACTACGTTACTTAAAAATCGAAAACTGAAAGCATAAATGAGAATAAACAAAATAATAATAAAAAACAAGTAATATAAATGAGCCCAAGCAAATAATAAACAAATTAACAAACTACTCCCTTTAGAATAGACGAAATAGAATAAATAAAAATAAATACATAAAAAACAAGTAAAAATAATCAATCCAAATAAATAAACAAATTAACAAACCAATCCTACCAAATAACAGTTAGAATAGACTACAACACTCAATCCAAAAAATGGACCAAATAATAGCTATATCTGCTAAAGAATTATTACGTTACTTCAAAATCGAAAACTGAAAAGAGTAAATAAAAATATGAAAAATAAAAAAATTAAGTAAATAAATAAGAAAAACAAAATAAATAAACTAATTAACAAATCGCCCCCGCTAAAATGACCGTTAGAACAAATAAAATAAAATAAATAAGCAAAAACTAATAAAAAATAATCAATCCAAATAAATAAATAAATAAAATAATAAACAAAAAATGCCCCCCACCAAAATAAGAGAATGGACTACAGCAATCCATCCAAAAATTGAACGAATAAAAAGCTTTCATTATCTTCCAAGACCAAAACAAACTATTAAATAATCAACCTAAGCAAATACCCGCAATTTTTTTACTATGTTAAAAAAACATCGAAAACCGAAAAAATAAATAAAAATAAAAAATGAAAATAAATAAAAACAATTAAAAAATTAACCTAAATAAATAAATAAACAAGCCACTCACAGCAAAGTACCCGTCAGAATGGATTACCCACAATGCAGCACTGACCCATATATATAAATAGTCGAGAAAAACCCAACACTCGCGGCTTGACGATTGCGCCTGGCATGTAACAGTCTGTCGTCTCTTAGTGTTGACTTCAATGTTCATTTTATTTATTTATATATATATATATATGTATATATATATATATATATATATATATATATAAGTGAAAGAAATTATATTCGGAGGATATGAATAATCATAATTAAATAATTCATCGAAGCTAGAAGAATCCTCAGCAGAATGCAGAAAGCACTGGACGGCCATTTCGTCTTATTTGGGGACTCATCAACAGTGCGTAACCATTACCGAAAATCGAACCTGGACCGTCGACTAGACTCGATGAATTACTTAACTATGATGATTCAAATCCACCTAATATAATTTCTATCAATTGTATATCGTTGCTTGGGATAGAAGACGTGACTCCTGGATGAGTCCCACGGCGGAATTTATGAAGAGCAGCGCTGTATCGAGTCTAGTTAGTGACCCGTTGGTCCAGTCGGTATGATGTTTGCATCGTATCGTAACGGTCCGGGTTCGCTTCTTGGTAGTGGATAGTGCATTCTGTTGAGGATCCTTCTAAACTCGATGAATTACATTATATATATATATATATATATATATATATATATATATATATATATTGTCTGTCATGTTCAACGAAGCACATACACACACACACATACACATATATATATATACCAGGTCCTCCCATAAGTTCTGTCCGAATTTTGAATAAAGAAAACAAGTGACCAAATGTTACATTTAATTACAGATTCAATTAACAATGTATTTTCCCTGATTATCTATGACTTCCTTCCATCTATTAACAAGCTTACTAATTCCATTACTGTAAAATTCTTTTGGCTTTGATTTGAAGAACTCACAAATGTCAGTTTTAACCTCTTCCTGTGTTACAAAAGCTGTTTCTTTCAAATGATTCTGTAAGCTACGAAACAAATGGTAGTCTGAAGGAGCAAGATCGGGAGCATAGGGTGGATGAAGAATTTTCTCCCAACCAAGTTCTTCGATCTTTTGTGACGTGATTCTTGCTGTGTGGGGTCGCGCATTGTCCTGATGAAACATCACCTCTTTTCGATTCACTAGAGCAGGTCTTTTTTTCCTCAAAGCTTGGTTCAAACGCTCGTTGACAGTATATCTGAGCATTAGTTGTTGCATTAGGTGGTAAGAATTCAAAGTGGATTATTCCTTGGTGATCCCACCAGATAGAAAGAAGAACCTTTTGCCCACGAAGTTTCCTTCTCGGCTGTGGCTGGGGTCCTTCCCCTTTACCAAGCCACTGTCTACGACACTTAACATTTCGATAAAAGATCCATTTTTCGTCGCCAGTTACAAGTCTATCCAAAAAAGGTGAAACAAGTTGGCGAGAATGGAGAGAAGAGCAGATGTCAACTCGGGATTTGAGGTTGTTTTCAGACAATTCATGAGGCACCCATTTTCCAAGTTTAGGAACTTTTCCAAGTTGTTGAAGATGACGATGAACAGTTGTATGGTTTGAACTGAGAACCACTGCCAATTCCTCAACTGATAAAGCAGGATTTTCTTCAAGGGCTGCTTCAAGAAGCTTTTCATCAAATTCAACTGGACGTCCGGTTCGATCTTCATCTTAAAGGGTGAAATCTCCACCTCTGAATTTTGCAAACCATCTTCTGCAAGTTCTTTCATTCACACATTCCTCTCCATAAACTGAGTGAATGTTTCTAGCCGCTTCGGCTGCTGAGTTTCCTTTCGTGAATTCATAAAGCATTACGTGCTTCAAATGATTCTTGGGTACTTCCATGTTAGCAGGGTTTTAATCAAACAAAATTTAATTTTATTGTTCTCTGAAATTGTTGGGGCGCACCCACCTTCTGACTGATAATGGACTTATCCCTCTACGATATAAGTCAGTGCTAGAGAGAGGTGGGGGAAGGATCAGGTTCAGCGACAGCAATCGAGATCAGGTTACCATTACATACCGTTGGACTGTAGACTTTTGCTATTGTTACTTACTAACCGGCGTTCCTTATTACTAATCACTCTGTTGTTAAGGTAATTACCTCTTACAAATATACCAGTATTTATCCCTACAACTGTGTTTGTCTTTATTCGAATACACACACGCGGGGAACACTCCCAACAACTCAACAGAAATAAAATTTGATCAGTTTAAATGCATCTAAACATAAAAATAATGTTCAGCTCCATTAGACATTATAAAATACTCTTTAAATTTCGTTTATTTTAACAAAAAGTTAAAATTCGGACAGAACTTATAGAATGACCTGATATATATATATATATATATATATATATATATATACCTACAGCAATACACACGCTTACACCACATATCGTACTCACTCACTCCCTAAGAACCAAATAACACACACAC